TAAAGTAAATGATAGTAACAAATATAAGCGGAGCGTATATACTGGATGGCTGCAGTGGCATGGCCAGGATTTTTAAATGGGAGGGGTTAATCACTTTTTTGGATAAGTAAGGTAAGAGAGGATATGAGAATTCACCCTTAACCTCCCCCATCTACCACCAAGTTTTTAAATGTAATTCAAGCATTTTAGTATAGTTTTAAAAATATTTATTAATATATAATTTATAATAATAATAATAATTTTGGTTTCAGTGTTCAGTCACTTACTCCACTCTGACAGCTGCATCCTCTTAGGCGAATTTCTGACAAATTCAATTATTATTTCACTTTCATCGAATTACTCTTTTTTATTTATATTAGCCATAGCTAACCCATTCAGTCTGTTTTCCGATATGGTACTTCTTAAATAATTTTTTAAGCGATTAAGTGCAGAAAACGTTCTTTCCAGAGTGGAAGAGGTAACTGGTAACGTGATGAATAATTGTAAAAGTATTTTAATATTAGGTTGAAGATTGGTGCAATGAGAAAGTGAATCAACAGCAGAATTCGGTTTTGGAATAGTATTTTGACTCCATTGTTGCCTCCGTATGAACAGCTCAGCTCTGATTGTAGATGAGGTGTCATCACGGAGATCTTGGGCATATATTTTAGCAGCTTTTATAATATTTTCATCGTTATACATATTTAAATTGGCCGGAATAAGTCCTTCAAGTGGCATAACATCAATAAGCCTTTGATTAAAACGAGCATCCATTGATTCTATTAAATAGTCAAGAAGAGGAATAAAAGTAGAACATTTAAAATATATTTCTGGATTTTAAGAAATAAAGTTTTCTCTCTGAGTTTGCCTTTTACATACTCGTGGCATTTTTATTTCAATATTAACACTTTTTCCCATGTTGACAACGTTATTAAATATTTGATAGTAACTCACCACAACCTTGAATGATAATCATCAAAAAGATAGTGATAATCATCGTAAAACTAGAAGTATTAGTAATCTGTAATATCTACGCTAAAGACAAACACCTGTTATTCGTTAATCGTCAACATTTAGTTAATACCAAAGGTTTAAAATACTTAAATAAAAATAGTGGTATACTAGTTTAGTACATAGATACACCATACATATAAACACGGCCCATGAGAGAGGCTATAGCCCCCTTAGCCCCCCCCTTGGCTACGCCACTGGATGGTTGAATACATTTGATTGCTAATGCTGTATTGCAACTTTTTCCTATTCGAAATTTTGCGATTCGCACGTGGTTCATATTACTTCTATTAATTTGTTTATGGTTATAATTGTAAATTGTAATTACGTAGTAACAATGAAATACGTATGAAAAAGTATAATGTATACGAGTACATAGTACATTACACTAGAGTTGAAACTAAACATCTCAACAATATACTATTACAAAAAAAAATTATAACGAAACTGAACATTATTATTTAACAACTAAAATAAAATGACAATATATTATTTACATAGGAAGTATGTAGTTAAATTTTGAATAGTTTGATTCATAACTCATATTATTCTCATATTATAGTGACTTGATATGATATATTGATAACAGCCCATATAATAACTCTATGTAACAGCCCAACATTAGTGGTGAATAAATTACGCGCATGCGCAGAATGCTTAAGGTGCATTCCTGTGTTTAGACGCTCCTCAACATCAACCCTCTATACGAAATCTTGCAGTCCCTACTGTTCCTAATTATCCACCCAGACATCTAAAAAGAAAATGGTGTCGTGACCTGTTTATCCACCCCCTACCACCAGCTAAATCGAAATAAATTTTCTGTCAGTATAGTTATGTAATTTAAAATTAAATATAAAAAAAAGACAATTTGGTGAATATCATTAATGGATTACTTCTCACATCAAACATTACCTGTAAATATTTAATTATTTTTATTTTAGAATATATACGGGCTGAGCCTTTTTGACAATTACAAATAAGAATAACAGGTTAACTTAATATTTAATTATCAATAAAAAGAAAAAAAATAATAATAGTAACAAAGAATTTAATTTTACTATTAATTCCATTTATGATTAATAAAATTAATTAGTATGTATTCTACTCTAGCCACATAAACTTATTGTACCCCTAAGCAGTGGCGTAAGTTGGATCCAATTTCTGGTGGTGTAAAAGCATATTCTTAACTTATAATTTCCAACACCAATTTTCTAATTTCCTAAGTAAAATTCTTCCCAATAAACTAAATATTTTCCCATATATTTCTTTAAATAACAAATAAATTTTGAATTATTTTAGCATTAAAACCTAAAGGTTATTATTATATTAATAAAAAAACAATAAAAATTTTGTTTTTAGTATGCTAATTTCCTTGGCTTTTGAAAATAATATTTTAGGTATACAAATTTCAATAATTTTCTGGTGGTGCAAAAATATATCTTTGCACCACCACATTTTAGACGTGGTATTACAAGTACCACATTTGTACCACCCAGTTTATGCCACTGCCCCTATGGTACAGATTATTTATTTAAAATAAAAAAAAATACACTTTATATTTAAAAATAAATTTAATTCATAAAACAAAAACTAAATGTAACATTCGAAAAAGAATTAATATTAATTTAGACCATGTAATTGAAGAATTCAATTCGGAAACTGCAGAAAGAGGAAGTCCCATCTTGAAATAAATAAAAAAAAAAATTTTGATTGTTATTTTTTTAGTAATATAATACTTGGTTTCACTACTAAAATAATTCAAAATGTATTAATTATTTAAAGAATTAGAAAGAATACGTCTCTGCACCTCTAGAAATCGGACCCAATTTACGCCACTGCAGGTCGGCTACGTTCAATGTAGGTACCCCGTGTGCGCTCGGTGATTATTAATCAACGTCATAACACGAATATGCGTTCTTTATCTCGATTATATGCAGCCCATTCAGTACCGCAATTACACTAACTTGGACCCGGGTGCAGTGGCGTAACAAGGGTATAGTGAACTGTACCTACGCCAGGGGCGCAAAATTGTGCATAAGTCGTATTTTTATCCTACAATTAAATCGACATTTTTCTATTATACTTTTTTAAATACGTAGATGTTGCCTATTTGTACAGACTACATTTGAATTAAATGATAAAATTATGAAAATATTAATATATACAATACATACATAACAAAAGCATTTAAATAAAAAACTTCATATGAAGAAATTATCGATGAATTCGCTAGTCATAAAGCGAAAAAAGCAAATTTTAAAAGTTTAAGCACTGTAATAATTACTTATAAATAAAAATTGTAACATCAAATTTTAATTGGTTGAAAAGTGTTTTTTTTTTCTTAGTTTGCCAGAGGCGCTAGTGAGTCTTTCTACGCCACTTCCCGTGTGTAAGTAAAATTAATGCCCTCCTCCGCATCCGGACTCTACAGGGAAACCATACTGTACTTGTAACCAAACTATTTTGAATTTCGATTATACAGGCTGTAAAAAAAATGCTGATGTACGATTATGTGTACAAAACAAAATCAATCAATTATTTTTCAATCTCCATAGTAATTATTATTACAAAATGGTTTTATTTTCTTGCTTTCTACATATTTTTAAAATATTAGCATTAGGCCCTATTATAAGGTCATGGGCCCGTGTGTTTGACAGACGCAACACACCCGATTATTGCGGCACTGAGCCCATTTGTACATTAAACATTTGTTACGATTTATTTAAACACTATCCACCCACATATTGTCGTATGTGGACGAAAACTCGATTCGAACGAAACGCCATCTAATGGTAACGTCGGCAATATTGATGCTGGTTGAATGTCTAACAAATTTGTGGCGAAAAACCAATGCGACGATGTACGAAACAATCAGTTCGCGATTTGCGCTCTTCGACCGGATCAACGCAACGATCAAGATTGTTAAAAGGTATGGCCAATTCCAACGGGAACGGTCAAGTATGCTAAATTATTCCGTACGAACCCTTTAAATATTATTTTTACATTCCGTTTTAACGTTCACTTTTTTTCTTTAAACAATAATTTTTCTGATAATTCTACATCAATTCGTTTTAAATTCATAATTGTTATACAAATCAATTTTCGGTTTAACGGTTATAATATACTTTGCGATATTGTCAAGCATTGTCCATTACGACGTGTCTACCCGTAAATAAGCCTTGATAATAGTTCGAATATGTTCGAATTACTACTGTTTTCCGACGACTAAAGAAAATAGATGAATAAAATATAGAATTTCAGAACTATTCAAGACATTGTTTTCCCTAACGTTAATATGTTGTTTTATTGCAAGATAAACTTTTATAATTTAATTCTGTAAGCCATTAATCATACACGTTTCTCACTTTTGTTAAAAAAAACTTCAACTTTAATCAAATTTGTAATACCATTAATTATAAATAGTTTTTATAGTCAATGGTTATACTTGAAAATGAGATAATATCTAGTTATATTAGAAGAAACATCGATCAGATGATCGAATTACAAAATTAAATTAAATATAAATATTTATTTGTACACACAAGAAATGGTTAGTCAAAGATGTAGGTTAACACTATCAGTAATATGTTGTTAAATTGCCATTTAAGTTATTTTTATTTCACTTGAAATCCTTGCTTTTATATTTTTTTCTATAAAAGTAGGAAACTCAAGCTGAACAAGCAAGGAGAAAGGGACAGGTTAGATAGATCCAATTATCAATGAATTATTTAGCTAGATTTTAATAAATAAAATTTGGATTTATGATAAAAACACATAGTTAAAAATGTAATTTATTGATACTATAACACTTGCATTTGCATATGTTAAATATTAATTATTTATTAAACAATTTATTACAATTATAATATATTATTTATAATTTTAAAACACAAACATTTATATGCATTATAATTATAAAAACGTATAATTGTATATTAATATTAATTTACATGTATGTATATATATTCAATTACATACATAATTTATAAAAAAAATATATATATTTAAATGTTATAAGATTTAATAGTAGTCTGTCTTAAAGACATATTTAAATGAATTACAATGGTTTTTGTCTAATAAATACATTTATTTGTATGTATATAGAAATTAACTAACTACTGGCTAGTCACTATTGATCCTCGATTAAAGTCATTGAACTATTAGTATCATTTTCTGAACTGTCATAACTGTTAGAGACATCAAAGCATAATTCCTTGAGATCTTTGATATTAACAAACTTGGGAACAGAATTATTTACAGAAATCATCATATCCTCATTATTTTTCATAATTTGTGAATTGGTCCGTCGTGCTGGTTTATTGTGCACATTAGTATGTTTGAGCATATCATTCTTCTGAGTAAAACCACGGCCACAAATAGGACATTTATAAGGCCTCTCGCCAGTATGTGTACGCATATGAACACGTACTTTTTCTGGTCGCCCAAAACGCTTGTAACATACCTCGCACTGAAACGGCTTTACTGGTGCATGAACCATTTCATGTTGTCGTAAATTTGCCAAACAACGGAATGTAGCGTTACACTGTTTACATCCGAATGGACGTTCTCCAGTATGAATACGTCTATGAGTATCACGTGTCAATTTTGAATTGAATCCTTTACCACAAAATTCACAGTGATGGGTTGTTTCTCCAGTGTGAGTTCGTTCATGATACTGTTTAGATGATATCTGTAATAAGGTAAAACATAAATATTAAATTAAATCAATAAAATGTATTAATATTAAATTTGCTAGTAATAATATAACGGCATACAATATTTAACAAATATTGACAGTGTATATTTTATATTTTATTAAATTAATGTAGGTTAAAATTATTATAACTAATCTGACTTAAGCTTCAAATGACAACATTTAAATGCTGATATTTGTTTTACAGCTAGTAAATTACACAAAAGGAGATATGAAAAATATTTCTTTAAATCTTATTTATGAAAAATGATTGTAGAAACTTGAATCTAATAACATGAAACAAAAGAAATATTTTAGGTCAATTAAATTTTTGATTCCTAATTAATCCTTTTGAATTAAAAGTCTATGCATACCTATGAGAACTGCAATAGAATATTAATATTCTCAAAAATCAATATTATATGCACAATTAATTTACATACAAAAATAATTAGTGTTCTCTAAGCTAATACTAGTAATTACAGTACATCAATAAATAATAATAAGATGCTTATGGCATTACTGAATTGGGACATCAGTTTAATCAGTAAATTACCTTTTAAGTTTTATGTTATTATTTTATATAATAACCTCACCACTATTTTTTTAATTATTCACAAATTGTATAATATTTTACCAATTAAAATAGAAACATATATTTAACAATAACTCAGAAAATTCAACTAAGCAGCAGAATGTTACCCAGGGTACTAAAACTTTAGTTTGACAGAAAGTCAAACAATTCTGACATAAATTTAATATATTAACTAACTTGTGAAAATGTTCTATCACAGAATCTGCAAGCATGTGGTTTTTCACCCGTATGGGTTCGTTGATGAGTCGTAAAAGAAAGTCGATTTGCCAATACTTTACCACACTCTGGGCAAGTAAACCTTTGACGTTCATTTTTATGCTTGGCTAAATGATCTAGAAGTCCAGATACACGATTGAACATAGTAGGACAAAAATCACACAGATATTCATTTCTGCAGAAGTGTGTGGCAATGTGACGTTCAAAATGCAACATAGAATCATATTTGGCAAAACAATGAAAGCATTCCATTTCTCCGGGATCATGTTGAATAAATATGTGACGGCGCATTTTAGTCTCTGATTCAAAAACTCTTTGGCACTTGGAACAATGATATTTAGCACTTTCTTCACAGTCATCTTCTTCAATTTTAATCATCATTAACTCTTCGTCGTCAGCTGATGCATCATCGCAAAGGTCATCGGTACCAACACTGACGATATCTATTGACTCGTACTAAGATTAAAGAAACATTATTTAACACAGGTTATTGTTTTCAGAAATCATTGAGAAATCATTGCAAAAACTAAGTATCGAATCCATACTTCTGAATATTCTTCTTTGACTGTAACAATACCACCATCATCTTCGTCAGCAGAATTTATGTCCATAATTTCCATTTGTGCGTTTTCGTGTTCCATATCTTCAATGCTATCTTCATTATTATCCTGTTGGAATGTGAAATTATATTAATTAGTTCATTTTTAAAGCTCCATTTATAAGCACATTAAACATTAAACTATGTAAAATGACCAACTATACATAGTAATACACCAAGTTATACATAATCAATTCAAAGCAATTATATTTTATTTAATTTTTTTTTTTTTAAGTTTTTATTAATCTACATTGTTGTACTTACAAATGCATAAGAATTGTTTTTTATCTGTTTTCTTTTCATTACTTCTTCTAAAGTTTTATTCATCTCTATTGTCGATACCACCAACTTATGACAACTTTCTAGTCGACTGATACATACACTACATAGTTTGAGAGGTAGATTATCATTAACTGAAACCTATAATTTAAAATAAAAATGTGTGATATGCAAAATAGATAAATTCTGCTATATGTTGTCAATTTAATAACGGTTGTAGATTCAATATCCAAACAAATTAAAATAGTACAAACATGAATTGGTTAAAGAATATACCGTAATAGGTAGATAGGAATTAATTTTTTCTTCAAGTTGCAAAGACACTCCATCGCGACCAAATATTTCAATGTCCCCTGATTTACCACAGGTCCGACAAATATCCCACTTGTCTTTTTTTTTATTCATTGTTGGTGTGCGTATGCTCTATAAAATTTGTTTCAACATGGCATTAGTACAGAATTAACATCACTCAATTTTTCTATTTTTCATAAAAATCAAATTTTCTTTACTGTTGAAACTAAGCATTTTAATCCATGGCAGGAAAGTACTAATACGAGGTAAACATTTTATTCAGTAAAACGTTTCACATAAATTTTACTATTAAATCGTTATAATTTTAATAACATTAATATAGTCTTATTATAAAAACCATTTAAATCGAAACAAGGACACAAAACAGTTGCATAAGAATAAACACTATTATAAGGACATCTAACGGGATATATCTTGCAATAAAACTTGTTGTTCTGTAATATAGTTCTGCAATCAACGTGATTGGATGTTTGAGCAAAATTTATCCAATTCGGAGCTACAATGAAAAAGTTGGGATCGATCGACAGATAACGTTTCCAAGACCGAAATTACCCGACTTGTTTGCGAGTAAACATTTCAGTCTGTGTAATGGGTGTAATGAATTCAGGGTGCATTAGAGATTTTAAGAAAGCAATCGAACGAGAAATCTACGGTTCAACAAAAAACCGTTTTTTCTCTTATCAATCACGAGTTCGGAATCATATATCCATTTCGGGCTACAAGGAATAGTAAAATCCCCTGGATACCGAGAGGCGACATCGTTCGTTTGCAAATCGCAACCGTCACCCGTGTCCCGTCAAAACACATCAGATATTCGAAATGGTTTCGCCCGTTATTTGTTGGGCCGTCGGTGTAGACCGATCGCCGACGTGAAACATTTTCCCAATGATGTTCCAAAAACATCGAACGGACGGCGCACAAAGATGATCATTAAATGGCCAACGCAAAGACCATCACAAACGTCGTCGGTCGTCGCCGATGTGAGAAAAAAAAAATTAGTGTTTATTTTTTATCTTTTGTCTTTTACTTACCCAAGGAGAATTGATAAACCGTCGCCGTAGAGGCCGTGCTGTATCAGACGTCCGGGATGTTCAGGCGCGCGACACGTCGTCCTTCCGCAATCAAAAATCTACCGCGGTAGTATTGTTAACCGTCGCGCGTTTTGGCGTCGACTAGACTCCGGGGGATCGCGTGTGTGATGGACGTCTCACCGGAAGAACGCGCAAACGCCAGACAACAGCAAGGGATGCACGAGAACGGGTGCAACGTTGACGATTGTGTTCCAGGGCCGTGAAAATACGGCGTATGCGCTCGCTTGTCGATTCGCGATTGTGCTGTTGAGATCGTTGCGGTAACGACACAACGGCGGTACATTCATGACACATTATAATTAAACATTAAAAATAATCAGCCCTGTCCACCGTCACCGCGATCAAGCCGTTCGTTAAACACAATAATAGTATAACACAATATATCGTAAGATAATAGGAAGAAAAACAATCGCTGCGTCGCCGTCACCGTTGGTCGCCCGCGAAAACAGTGTGCCCAACGCGCGTATTTACTATCACGTTTGGCGGGCGACAGCGGCTACGAAATTTCAATACGCGCGCGAAACGATGATAAACAATAGTACTGAGTACCGTAATGCGCGGCAACTGCGTTCGGTGCACAGTATTATTGACAACGCATTTTCCGTAGGGTTTACCGTCGGTCGCGTTCGCGATCGGTTCTTGGCGGATATTTATTATAGAATTCGAAGTTACCGTTTTCTTATCAAGCCAATGGGGAAGAGCCTAAAAGCCAATAATTATTTTATTTATTTATTTAAATTTTTTTTCCGTATCGTTTTTTTAACAATAGTGCGCGCGCCCGTCGACCGTGGTTCGACATGAGCCTTATCAAGTGATAACGGGCGCCGAGAGTGCAGTGGAAGTGACTGCAGCCTGTAAACGACCACGGATGTTTATATTGTTGGCGAGTCGTACGTTATGTGGTCGTGGTACTGACCAAAATTGAAATAAACATCGACCATTTGTATCGCCGCCGTCTGGGATCTAAACACAACATGTTGCCTGTCGTCGGCTACGTGGTGCTTGTCGCCGTAGGTCTGTAATGATGTTGACAGTGTACGGTATATTGATGATGATGATGATGAATATCGGCAATGTTGTTTCGGTCGCTTGACCAAAGTTCATATTTAAGTCGATTGTGTTCCATGTGTGGGAAAATACTGTCAAAACATGGTGTCCATCGCGGCCGTCCAAACTTTAAAGTACGGTTTGGTTAAGTCAAAGGGTTCTTATAGCACTCGTCCTTGAGTATTATCTGTTTGAATATTACCTTATGCGTCTTGGTCCACAGGAAAGCTGATCAGCTGAAAGAACAAATTTACGCGTCTAAAGACATAAACAGCACCGAAACACTAGCATGTCAACAACAGCTAAGGGTATTAAAAATAATATTACTATGTGACCTCATTTTTCTTACTAAGTGTTGTCTATCATTTCTAAGTACATTTTCTTAACAGCTTCATTTATTATTTGTTCATACTTTAGATCATCTACCAGCAAGTGCTGACTTTAGACTTGGAGTATGCATTAGACCAAAAAGTCGAACAAGACCTCTGGAACCATGGCTTTAAAAACAACATCAATAAGTTGCAACAACTTGCCAAAGACAAAAAAGTACTAACCAATAATTTAATTAAATTTACTGGATACTCTTCACTTTATTTTTTATCGTTATCATTTTTAATTTTCTGTTAAGAGTGCAAAACGTAATGAATGGAACGCATTATTTTTATCGTGTCTTGAGTCTGCCTACGGCTTTTATCTTATGCTTTTGCACAGCATATGCTTGACATTTGATTTGGACCTACCATTTCATAAGTATGTTATCCAAAATGTATATCAACATATTACGATTTTTATTGTATTTATTTTATTTATTCCCAAAGAAAATTATACGGATTTTGTGATGCGGATAAGTCCTTAGGTTCATCATATTTACGAAAACCACAAAAAAGTTCATGTAATTACATTTGTCAATATTGCTTGGTGCATCTAGGCGATATTGCTCGTTATCGTAATCAAAACAGACAAGCTGAATCATTTTACAGGTATGTAACTTTCATTTATTTTAAATTTATGTTTAAATGTCATCATTTTGAACTATGAAAATGTATTTTGAAAGATTAAATACTAATATAAAAAGTAATACAATTTTAATACCTATTGCAGACACAAAATTTTTACTAAATCATTTAAAATTATATTTTACTGATCTTTATCATTTTTGATCATTTTTTACCATCACCTTAACTCATCCATATATGTTAGTAATAAATGTATGTTTGTCCTATTGTGTTATTTTGTTAATGAAATCCATGTCCTTTTTACTTGCAGTGAGTAGATTTTGCTTAGTTAAGGTCTAAAAATACACGGAAAATTAAATTGACTATGTAGAAATACTAACTTTCAAATATTTTTCAATTTTTAGCTGTTTAAAAATGTTTGGGATTTTAGTTTAAAACACTTCTAAATAATATTTAGCTTAAAATAAATTGTAATAATATAAATGAATTAATAAAGTTATAAAAATAAGTTTAGTAAAATATAATAAAACGTATAATAATATATAATTTATACATTTTAGTGTACACTATTTTAATTATTATATAATAATTATATTCTTATAGACTTATTTATTGTTATAAATAAATTATTATCAATAATTATTTAAAAAGTTGTTAAAACAATTATTTTTTGTTAAAATTATTTACACATTTTGTTATAATTATATCATAACAAAATTAAAAATTAATAATATCTAATTCTCAATCTATTTTCTATTATGTTTTTAAAATATTAAATTTATTTTAAATGTTATTAATACTTATATAAATAACTATATATTTAATATTATATGTATATAATTTATATACTTTATTTTTATAGACATGCCATACAATTAAGCCCTAACAGTGGACAACCTTACAACCAATTGGCTTTACTTGAAGCATCGCGAGGAGATAATTTGAGTACGGTATTTTATTACATGAGAAGCATAAATGTTAGACACCCATTTCTAGCAGCTGTCAATAATCTAAATGTTACACTAAACAAATATATTAACTCTAGGTAATACCATTCAATGTGTATATATATATTTTTTTATTATTTTTATTACAATAAAATAATTTAATTTAAAATAAATTAAAATAATTTATTTTAAAATACCTTTACATTGTGTTTCAGTCAAGATATGCTTTATAAAACTAAAATAACTAGCACTGAATTTGTTCAACTATTTCTCGCATTTCATGGAGTGTTGATGTCAAAAGATAATATAAAACGTCAAGCATGTGATGGATATATCAAAAGTCTTTCATTGTCATTCACACCGCTTATTGCTACTGAATCATTTACATCATTTAAATTACAGCAGGTTTTATTAATTATAATATCTATTCAAATGAATATATCATAACTATTGAATCATTTATAGATGGTGGCTATTAATATGTTGGCTTTCAACTATATTGGAAATGAATCTTCGTCAGTTAAAATACAATGTTTTCCTGTTGTTGATTTATTAGCTACTTTTCTCAATGCTTTTTTACTTCCTCTATATACAATGAAAGAAAGTCAAAATATTTCAGAATACTATACCTTACCCGCAGGTATAATTATTTTTCATTTAATTCAATAGACAATCAATAAAAATACCACTAAAAAAATTATAGCCTTCATTTTAGTCTTACTGGTGGTAAAATATTATCATGTTTTTGAAATCAGTTTATAACTAAAATTTTTTTTTAATATTTTTCAGTTATATGGAAATAAATAAGATGTTTTCAAACTGAACACTTTTATAATTTATTGTATAAGTAGAATTTTAAATAAGCATCATTTACATTTCTTAGAATTATTAAAAATAATTAAATCCTGATAAACATAGAATCTTTAAGTTCATAAAAATGTTATTACAAATTATTAAAAAATTTATATAATTTAATGTTATAAATGTTTGTTGATAATGGTGCGACAATTGTAGCTCATAAATAGACCATACTTTTAATAAATGACAAATTTTAAGTTTTATATTAAAATTTACAGTTAAACTCATTCTGGATTGGATACGAAGTGATATTAGTGTCTTGAATTCTCCTGGTTTTAGAAGTCGTTTGCAAATTTGGCCTGGTCTTTGCAAATTATTAAATGGATTGTCTAATGATCTAAACCATGAAGATTGTGAGTAATAAGTGTTATTCAATTTTTTAATTTATTTAATTATAAATTAACTTTAAGATGTGTATATTATTAGATTCTCATATTCCTTTACCAGAAGATAAATTACTCCATGGCTTTGTTATGTTAGAATCAATTCATTCGAAACTCATGTAAGACTAGCATTATTTTTTATTTGAATGATATTAAATTATTGTTTATTATATTATTTAATTACAGGCTAAATTCTGATGATAGTACAAAAATAAATATGAATGTCCTTAGAGCTAGTCGTTTAATTGAATTTGGTGTTTGGTTCTCATCTACTCCATACTCATTAATAAAAGCAATGTAATCTTATATTATTATTTTATATATTCTTATTATATATAAATTAATATTTGATAAAATTTGTGTGCAGGAAAATAGATAAAGGATGGATTTTTGAAATAATACCTAATAGTTCAGGAAGTTCTCATTCTATTGATCTTGCTGCTGATCTTGAAACATTATCATCATATCAACAACGTCAGTTATTAAATTCAAGTAAATTGTATAAACCATTATTAATAAGTGAATAATGCTTTCAATTAAATTAAAGTTATAAATAATATTAATTTCTGTTGTAGGTGATAGGAAGAGTGGTATCTTAAAATTCCAGTCTTCAAATAACTCAGATATTAAACCAGTTCTGCGTAATGTTGTTTTTGATTCAATAATGAAGAAAAATCAAGAAACTGAAATTAAACAGGTATAGAAAAATTATAAATGCGTTTTTGGATACAATTATTTTTTAATTATAAAATAAAATATAGGTGAAATTTCGATCTCCATCTCCTAGTTCATCATCTAGTAGTGAAGCTAAATGGTCATTAGAAGACCTTGATCAAACTTCATCAGAATTTGAAAAGGATCAGAGAGCTGTAAAACCTACTCCTATTGGCTATCAATTGCCTCATCATTCCAGTAATTTCAACTCTTCAAAACCTAACATTAATCCTACTATGAATACTTTTGGTCAACTACATCTGAGTGGATTTCCAACTTCATCAGAAAGTCCCTGTAGATTTGGTCAGCCTTTACCAAACTTTTCTACTTGGCCACAACCACCAGCAAGTTGGATTGACAGTATAAAACAACCTCAAAAGTATTAATATTTATTATTTTTATTTAAAATTATAAATACTGAAATTCATCTGATCCTAATAATTTTTATTTTCTAGCAACCAGCCAAAACTTCCAATGTTTCCATTTATACAAAACCAAGCTCCAATTGGACAATATCCAAATGGTACTTGGTCAAATATTAATTCTCCTCAAGTTGCACATAATTCACCTTTGCAAAATAATTTAAATGTAAGTTATTACTATTATATATTTAGCATAAGTTTTTAATGTTTAAAATGATTATTAATCTTTTATTTAATGTTCAAGCATTTCAGTATAAGAGATGATCAACAACGTAACTATTATAATAATACAAACAACAGTTCATATTATTCACTATTCAATCAACCTAATATTATGATTCCCCGAAATATTGATACAAGTCAAGAGCCCAGTAATAGATCATTTGCTACATTTCATCAACAGGTAATATTTAACAATCTTAACATTTATGAAATGCATTAAACATTGTTATATTTTTTAGTCGTTATGGTCAGGACCAGGACCATCACCACTTGAACGACTTTTAGAGCAGCAACGTGGCCGTGATGCATCAGAAGGAGGTGCGTAAAGGATTTATTCAAATCACATTGGTTATAATTGATTAAATTATAGGCCTATAACTTAGCTGATAAATTGATATTTCAAATTAGCAGAAAAATGTCTTAAAAATGTATCATCCCTTAAGCTACATTTTTTGGTTTTATGACAAACATTGTGTATGAAAATTATGTGATTTTCATCTTAAGAGTAGGTGTAAAATGACAGCCTTCTTGTTTAAACCATAAGTTATGAACAGTTTTCAATAGAGGTTGGTTTCTTGTTTTTTTTTTTTTTTACCAAAAAATATCAATAATTTATTTGTTCCGTAACAATTTATTTCTATAATTCACTGATATTTATATATATTTTTGTCTATGATAATATCGCAAAAATATTTCTAAATTGTTGATTATCATCAGTATAACAGATAAAAAAATAAAGATAACTATTGTATCAGTCAGGGAGTCGTTTTTCATAGTAGAATATTATTATGTACAAATATAAAATAAAGGTTTTGTTTCAAACGTTAATTTTGTATAAAATAACTTAATTTTCAAATTACTCTAAGAAATTATTAATTTTTTCCTTTTTTTTTAAAAGAAATCATTATTTTTTTGTAAAAGAACAACAGTATAGAATTTATATATTTTTGAATTTAAATTAGACTGAAATGTTTACGTAGTTTAAAATCAAATGAAGAGAGTTATGATGTTATACAAAAATTATTTAAGCTGTATTTTTATTTAAATCTTTTTGAAAAAAAAAGTCTTGGTAAATGTTTTTTTAAAAAAAATATGTATATTAATTTTGTATTCACTTGGACTATATTTAAAATATGTTGAAAATCGCAAATATTTTTTATTTGTATACAATTCTTGATTACAGTCATATCCCTTAGAAAAATAAATATCCATGAATTGTCAAGTAATTTTTGTACAATTGATGATAAATTAAAGTTCAACTAATAATTATGTACTAAGAAAAATAAGGGAAAAGTTCCTGTGTAATGTCTCCCTACTTTGACTGTTTTAAATTTATTTTTTGTTGCTATTATTACTTACTACCTTAAATGTTTTTGTTCGAGAAATAGCAGTTTTGTTTTGTATTTAACTTTTTTTTTTTTTATGTTTTGTTTTGTTTTTTATGTATTATGTTATATAATATACAATGTTACATATGTTCAAAGATGTGAACTATTACAATTACTAGCACACATTTTTATAGATTATCCCTAGCTTAAATTTAATTGAAAATTTATGATTATAACTGCTAGCTTTCCTTATTCGATTAAGTACATTAATTTCCATTGGTATTTTGAATTCATTAAATTATTTACAAGCTAAAATAATAAAAAATATTTCTGTTTGTATACTTCCCTTGAAATACTTCTTCATTGTTAAAGGCCTAGACCTTTATATTTATTTATTTTTTTTACCTATACATGTGAATTATGGTATTCGGACAATTGACACCCGATATTTTTAGAACACAGATAATTGACACCGAGCGATTACGATTACGATAACCGTGAGTAGATACCTGCTAAAGACCTGCAAAGGCCAGCCCAACCTGGTCCTCAAGAAGCCCAGCCCATACTGAGACTGAACCGGCCGTGCCTTAAAAAAAATATTGAGGGCTAGATCGGACTTTCGTTTTCGTAAAAAATTTCAGGCCGGGCTGGGCTTTTTTGGTAGAACTTTTCGGGCCGAGTCCGGCTTAAGGATTTTTACATCTAGCCGCACTTGAACATTTTATGGATTTTTTTTTTGCACGACAAATAATTGTTATTTAGAATAAAAATGATAAATTCAAATTACGACGTAGGAATAACCACGAATATTATGTAATTTGTGGAACGTAGGTACTGAGTAAAGGGTATAATAAAGTTATTTATATATAATTCATACATATGTCATTAATAAGTAACAACACTACCAAAATATATGGCATACTATTAGCGGGATAGAGGTACTTATCTATTAGTAGATTACTATTTCTATAGTATCATAGTACCAAGTACTAATGTTAAACAAAATACATTATGATTATTCTTATTGAACGTTTTTGTAAAAACTTTTATTAGTTTTTATGATATTTTTTGAATTTGTTTTCTGTTTGTGATTTATTTACTTCATCGTATACGCCACGCAAAGGCTTGACAACACAAAAATAAGTATTTGTTGGTTGTTGGACACTAACCGTCAAACAAGCACGTAAAGAAAAACCTTATAATTTTGCCCGGACGACTACCTCATTAAGTAACAATTAATACAATCTAGCACTGCTTAATAAAATAGTCGAAAACAGGTTTATTAAAAGTCTTACTTTTCTTTAATAGCTCTAAAGTTATTTTACACTCGAAACAACTGACAAGGAATAAGATTTAGCACTGGATGTTTCGAGCGTGAGGTAACCTTTACCTAACTATATTGTACTCTCACCTCAAACTGACAAAGAATATGATCTAGCACTGGATTTAGGCTTGAAATACAATATAGTTTTTATAACCTTTTTGACAGTGGTTAAAGTTGGTGAAGACGGAAGGGAATGGAGTCCTCCTTTTTTATTAAGGTAAGGTTATGCGTCCTCTTTAATTGAAGTCGCCAAAAGTCTGGATGGACGCTTAATGGTATTGGTCACTAAAATACAATATTGAATAAACACTACTTATTATATTTTACAGTATAACCATAAATTAAATATACATAGATAGCCCATAGCTATACGCAATATGGAAACACGTAAATTAGTACGAATTATGTGACAATAGATAGCGTTGGTAAATACTAAATTGTACACAATGCACAAACCGATACAATAAAAATAAACCGCGATAAGAAGAACTCTAAGAATATAAATTAAATTGAATATTGTTATCCATTGATTAAATATACATGTATATTTAATCAATGCTAAATCTGAATGGTTAATCATATAATGTTATTTTATTTTCGAATATTATGTTTTCTCATGGCACTACTATGATGATTGCTGAATAAAGTTAAGTTTAAAATGTTAATTTTAAGTAAAATAATTGTTTTTTTCAAATAATAATTTTTCAGAAGTAACTCAAGCACACTAAAGAACATTATTGATTTATTTTATATTTAATCAATGAGAATATAGGTACCATAGTTGATTTAGAATCTAGTCAAATATTTTTATTTTAAACAAAACAACTTAAAAACTTACATATCCATCTAAAATTATTGATAATAAATTTTAAAATGGCTATGGTTTTACCCTTTTACAAATTAACAAACACATAGATACATTATTTTATAATCAAAAATTAAAACAAAAGTAAATACAGGTTGGAACAGATCTAAAATCTTGATAATAAATCATAAATTTAAGACAATAACAATTTTAAATAAAAATATAGTATAGATAATGTAAATATAATCATTACATATTACGAGCGAAAACGTTAAATAAAACGTTTTAAATGTTTGTTTTGTTAAAAATAAATAGTATATTTGAAAACTATTTATATACTGTGATTACGAGTTAATACCCATTTATAACACATGCAGCACATAATATTCATAAATAGTAATATCATCGTTTTAATAGACTAAATATGAATTAACCAATGACAATATTAAAAATCTATTTTAAGATATATCATGAATAACACCTTGTTCATATTTTATACACTATATTTATAAATTGTACACTTATATTATCATGCTTAATTCACTCATTGTGTTAAATTTACATATTTGCAATTTTCAATTGATTTTAGTAATCCATTGTACCACATATTGTTATTATTTCATATAAATATTTTTATTTTTTTTTTTATAAATTTCATCCTTATACACAATTTTATTTTAGTTTTGTATTTATAAACATTTTACGGAAAGTTTTTAATTTGTTATTTTTTATTTTCATCATAACACAAGTTTGACTATTCTGAATTTGCATTCTCTATTTTAAATCAAATATTCAAAAATCTAATGATCTAATATGTTTTAACCTATAATTGGTTAATATGATAAGAGCAAAAAATACTTTTGGATTATGGTAAACAATTTAAAGGAGAATATTAAAAATAAAAATAAATTATATATTATAAATTTTCGTAAAATCGGTTGATTTTAAATGATATTGTTGATTTGCTCTTCGGATGTATACTACCACATATCGTACGCAATAGTTATTACACTAAATAATCATATTTTGATATTATTCTTTAGTGGCATTTGTAGAGATCATATAATCTTTTTGTATTGAAGATTAAAAAAATTACTAGAAACACACAAGCAAATGTATGGATTTTTTATGTATTTCATTATTGATACTAAGCCGTTGAGAATTTAAATATTATCAATGTTTTAAAAGTATGAGAAATATTAATATTATATGCTGGCTATATAGAAAGTGTTGATATAACAATTAGAAACAATTTCGTGTGATAAACAATTAGTGTTACTATGCAAGATAAGACGATTTTAATTTTGAATAAAGATTATAAAATGGAAATAACTAACAGTCATGATTCATACTTCAAACGACAAACATCGATTGATTATTTTTATAATTTTTTCATTGTCGACGATGCTTTCCGAATGTGAGTGATTTTAATAATTGTTATATTTTTCGTTTGAATTTTGTTTTTTCTCGATAATTTTTTAATCCTTGTTTTATTCCATTTGGAATGTTTTTGTATTTACATTTATTAATTTTTTTAAGTTTTTTGGAATTTATTTCCTATTTGCAGGATATTTTTTGTTGTATTTGATATTTCTTTTTAAGAACCAATTATTATAAATTCATTACAACACACATTATTATTTCATGTTAATTGTTCATTTATTATTTATTTTTATAATTTTTAATTCTGTTTTCGTTATATATTTTCTTTCGTCTATATTTTTTATATTTATTATTTATATAATTTTCATCTGCTCCTACAAATTTAGTATATATTATCATTGTTGTGATTATTTGTATTCAACTTCATCTTAGTTCCAAACCGATATCAGTGTTGTGGGATTGATATCCAATATCTTACAATATAAGTATGTACCTTTTTTTTTTTTTTTTTTGTATGTTCGAACCGACGCCAACAGGGGAACCGATTGTCCCAGTACTTCTCCATTGGCACCATTATTTATTGTTTTAATTCAATAAGTTATAATATAACGATTCCGACAATTTATCGACACAATAGTTGTAGGTTATCACTTTCTGTGCACCATTCTTCCCGGCCCGACGAACGCCCGCCGGCCTAGAATCTCATTACTGATATAAAATCTTCCCGACTCGGTATCAATGACCATCCGCTCTGGTCATCCGTGATCGTCGTCCCTCTCTAATGCCATGGATTCAATATGGTCT